TAGGTATGGTCGTATGTGAAAGGATAAGCTTATAAAACGACCTATATCCATAGTTGGCAGTAGTCGAGACTTTCATAATTGCAGCGCTATGATGGCTTATCGGTATCTTGATTCAACGTGCGTTCATCAAAGAGGTGCAACGTTGCTAGGGAATATTAATCAGTGAGATCACACTGGCAGGAAGTAGTTATTCAAGGTGCATTCGATTGCTCATGCCAAGATCTTATTATCTAAGCTCATGCCTGACTCTCCTGTCAGCTCGTTAAGTACAAGTCTCTTCGGGTCTTTTGTCTGTTCCTGCGCTTCTTCGCTAGATTGTTGTTCGGGCCATCGCGCACTCACAACATCCAATCCTTTTCACCTAGTCCACTTAAAAGATCCCCAGATTCTCCTCCTCCGCTTCAGTGAGGTCGTCTTCGTCGATCGTGGGTAGCTCAAGAGCCCAACCCGGGATACCTCCCATGCCGCCAATGCCGATGCTGAAGTCCTGAACCATATACAACTACTCAGGTTAGCTCGAGTCCGCCAACACCAGGAAGGTTTTTGAACGAGGTCCAGCATCCCACTTACCTGCTCACGGCTCAGACTGTTACGCCATTTAATGATGGCTTCGGGACATTTTCGCGCCACAACATCCTTGGTCTCACAAGTGACACCGTCTTCATCCGCTGGGTATCCAACCCACTGGACAACCCAGTACCGCTTCATTTCGTCCAAAACTTTGAGAATGCCATCCTTGCCAAGACCCGTGGTAGCACGGCCACCCTTCTGCTTCCAGTAGGCTAGGACGAGTGGCTCGTCAATCTCCTGAAGATTCTTCTCAGGGATCTCGGTGATTTTCTTGCCAGTGGAGGTGGTGTACTCGGCAGTGAAGATCACCGCACGGAATTCTTGAGAGACATGGTGACTCGTGATCTCACGCTCAGAGGCATCTGTCAAGGCTGTGGCTGTTAGTAGATGTGATGAAGGGAGGACAAGGAGGACTAACCCTTAGCGGTTGCGGCGGCAGATGGTGTAGGCATGTTGAGAATGTTGTGTTGAGAGTACTGAGTGCGAAGGAAGATGCAGAGATGAAGATGAAGAGAATGATTCAGGTGGAAAAGAAGGGAATTTATTGATGAGAGAATCGACCAACAGGCAGCGATGCGTAAGTGTCAAACAGAAAGAAAGAAATCACAGTGTTTGCCAGTTGTCAAAACTGATAGTGCTAAACATGGACCGACGCATAAAAGAAAAAGGCAAGCTGCATTCTAGTGGTAACGTCAAACAACTGGACTCCACTGTCAAACAAATGCGTGGAGGAGTAAATTACAGCAGTTACAAAAGATCACGCGATCTTGGAGTACGGCTTTGTGATGCCCGATTTTGTGTCCCCTGGTTTTGTGATCCCTGGCTTACAAACAACAATCTCCAAGTAGTGGCTTTGACCATGCGCCGTGTCATGAGCAATCTCGAAAGCCCTCCCATTTAAACTGTACTCAAAAGAGCCAGAGTTACTTACTCCCGACAGACTTGAACAGACTGATGGGACTCTTACGCTGGATTGAGATCCAATAAAGCCAAGTCCTCATCTACAGTTTGGCGGTGACACCTTTGGAGATGCCAGCGAATCGTATGCAACAAAGCATTACTTTTGATTACACCGCTTTGTGGCAACAGCTTCGGGGTATAGCCTGGCGGAGAGTGATAAGAGCCATGGCTGGTCGTCTATCTAATGCTAAAAATGAACGAAGACAAGAGGGTGATCACGATGTACGTCGGCAAGCACATGGCTGGATATTACTTCACTGCTGAACATGAATAATAACTGCCAGCCAAGAATAATCTTCAATCAACGTAGAATGTCAACAAGGTTGGTCTGTGGTGGTGGCTTGACGGGCCGCGATGGTGGGAACAGCCGCTACTGGGCATGCAGAATGGTGTCGTCATAAGGCTGGGAGCTCCCGAATGCGAAGACAGATGTCGAATTGCGAGCCAATCGCAGGGCTCCCGATCTTGCTGTTGCAGATTGTGAATGGCATCGAAGCTAGAGATCCTTGTTAGATGTAACGAATGCGATGGTGGAATGGCGGGATCAATCTAATCTATCAATTTAGCCGACTCGCATTACTGTTTCAGTGCAGATAATTTTCGCATTGATCGTGACAGAGCGCTGACTGGAGTTCTCCGTGTTGTTCTGCGCGCTGTTCTCCGGATGACTGTGAGTCAATCATCAGCGCTTAGTGTCAAATAACGATATAAATTCTTGAGTAAATATCATGAGACGAAATACTCACTGCGACTGCGATCTGGATGTGTTATGAATCTCCCTTGATCGTGAAGTGAGGAAGGATTGTCTCAGGCGAAGCGCACTTGACCTAATCGGGCATTCCACTCGGATGCGAGTGCGAAGTGCGAAGACACTGACGCCCACCGACTAATGTTAGCGCCAAACCACCAAGGGCGAAACTTCGCAGCGATCAAGTGCGAGATACGAAGGCGATCAACAACAAAATAATTAATCACGGTCAAGAATGTCTATATAACCCCGAGCTTCCCGACTCTTCATCCTTACTTCCAACATCAATACAACAGCATCCTTTACCGCCCAACAACATTCTTATCGCTACAACAAGATTCCCATCCAACATCACAACAACATTTTATTCTGCTTCAGCATGCCTAGCAAAGGCTTCAAGGCAATCGTCGTCGGAGGCGGCCCGGTCGGCCTCACAGCCGCCCACGCCCTTTCACGCGCCAACATCGACTTCGTCCTCCTCGAACGCCGCTCAAGCCCCGTCATCGACGCCGGTTCGAATCTCGTGCTGAATCCTATGGGGCTTCGTGCACTTGACCAACTCGGTCTCGGATCTTCTCTCGAGGAAGTTAGTTCTACACTCGGTCTTGTCAACAGACAGGATCATCAAGGCCGCGATATTGGTAATGCGTACTGGTTTATCCTCTTTAACAAACTGTGGGTTCTAACCCTGGGTTATTGTGGATGTTGCTAATGGGTCAGTTTGGGGACGTATCCTCGTGTCGTTAGTCGTCAGGATCTGACAAAGGTTCTTTACGAGTCACTGCCTTCTTCGACCAAGGCAAACATCTTGACCGACAAGAAAGTCTCCGATATTGTTCCTACCGAAACAGGCGTCCAAGTCTCTTGTAACGATGGAACATCCTACGAAGGTTCCATCGTCATCGGCACAGACGGCGCACACAGTTATGTCCGTGAAAAGATGCGCGAACTCGCTCTCAAAGACGATCCCGAACACGCCAACGAAGAAAAGCCCTTCTTGACCACGTTCCGAGCCCTCTGGCTACGTATGCCCACCAAGTTTGCCCAGATTGAAGAGGGCGTTACCTGCGAGACTCATGGCCCTGGTGCTGCGACACAGCTCTTCTCTGGAGAGGAATCAACTGTCATGGGTCTTTACGAGAAGCTGGAGACACCTACACGAGATCGTGTTCGACACACCGAAGCTGATCAAGTTGCGCTCGTTGAGCGATGGGGTCACATCCCTCTTGCACCCGGCGGCAAACTCACCCTCAAAGATGCCTTCAAGGAACGCACCCAATCTGGTCTCGTCAGTCTCGAAGAAGGCGTCGTAAAGAACTGGAGCTGGGGAGGCCGCGTAGTTCTCGCAGGCGACTCAGCGCATAAGTTCACACCAAGTCTCGGCGCAGGCTGCAACAACGGAATTATCGACGTGGTAGCTCTCGTCAACCAACTCTACGGTCTTCGCCAACAAACACCATCGCCCACACACGCTCAACTCGCCGCTGCTTTCAAGACATACCAAGATTCGCGCATGGCACCTGTCATGGAAGCTTGCCGGACTTCAGGCAACGCTACTGCTAATGCGACGTGGCAGTCTGGCGTTTTCAAGTTTATCGACAAGTATGTCATGGGAATTGAAAAGGTGCAGAATTATCTGGTTGGAATGGGTGCACCCAAGATGGCTCAGGCGCCTAGATTGACTTGTATTGACGGGCCGGAGAGGATTGCTGGGACGGTTCCTTGGGCTCCTACTGAGACCAAGGTCTACTGATCCATGATGGCATTTATGATGGTATTTGGTGGAAAAAAAATCTCTTTGGAGTTTGTAACCATATTTTGCTTTCTAGCGAGGCGTGCTGGTCGATAGACCTGATTTGAGAAGATCTCTGTATTTTATCAAGACACAACTTAAGAAACGATGCTGGTAATAGTCGTGATCGATTGCATTAATTCCCGGCCATCTTTCTCAAAGTGGCATGTCAACCAGACACGATGTTACAGCAACAAGGTTCATCGGCAAGGCGGGAATCTTCACCAAGCAAGGAAGGTCCACAATGAAATGATACATTCATGCAAAGTCTGATCAATTGATAGGTGGAACAAAACTCCAATTCTCCGAGTTAAGAAACATCGTGGTAATAAGATAGAATCATAAACATAAAAAACAATGCATAATCCACAAGGTTCAACCAAACCGTACCGCTACTTCTTCTATCTCATACCGATCAAGTGAAAAACAAAATGCAGCTCTCCACCGCCCTCAGCCTCCTCTCCATCCTCTCAACAACAACCGCCCAAACGAACGTGCACTTCGGACCAGCATTCTCTCTCGGTCCAACGAAATCATGGATCCGTGAAGCTACTACCACGCTCGTCCTTCCGCGGGTTCCAGGTCAGAAGGATCGATTGGCTTTGTGGCCCGGTATGGGCACTAGTGCTGGTTCGTTGATTCAAGCTTTGGCTGTTTCTTTCGCGGATCCTGGATTGTGAGTTTTTCTATACTGGGCGCATGGGAGGGATTTAACTAATGGTGGTAGGGAATGTGGTGGACAGCCTGGACAGTGGTGTACTTTTGCTTCGACTTTGCAGGGAACGCAGTTAGGTGGTGAAAGGAAGATTCCTGCTAGTCCCGGCGCTAGAATGACCATTCATTGTAAGTTTGCTTCTCATTAAGTGTTGAGGGACGGTATTGACCGATTGCAGACGTTTATAACGACGCTACGCAGCAGTACGACCAGAGCGTTGCCCTCGACGGCACCGTCGTCTCAACTCTTTCCACCAGTAAGAATCCCACCTCATTTACTCACGACAGTAGAACTAAAAGGAACAGCTTCTGGCCATGCCGAAGGTTGGGGAACAGCGGTTGAATGCCAGGAGGCCGCTTGTGTCGGTACCATGGACGCTCACGGTAAGTCCATATCTCATGACCTGGCAATTTGATCTAACATGAGCAGATTATCTTGATACGACCATCATTCTGGACCAGGCTGATCCCACGTTTGGAAACACCCTTGGTATGAATGAGGCGACATCTTCTGGATTGAGTTCGCCTGATGGTGGAAAGACTTGGGCTGTTAGCAAGATTAGCCACAAGGCTTTTACCTTCAACTTTCCTTAGTTCAATTGGACAACTCTTCAGGAACGAAGGGGAGTAGTCAATGGCCATATAGCCTTAAGATAATTTCAACCATATATATAGTAGATCTCTCCAGTTGGGAATTACCTATAACATATCTATGCAAAGGGCCCCTCAAACAGCCACTTTCCAATCACCTTCTGAGCCTCCCTAGTCTTCAAATCTGCATCCTTAGACAACTCCTTATCCCCATGCAACAACTCCAAAGAATCATAGTGATCATATCCATGGATTTGATCAGGAACCAACAACCATCTATAGTTCCCACCATCCTTCTTCACCTCAAACGAAAACCTCTCATCATCAAGTATTAGTTTCCCAGGAGGATTAACATGGTTTCGACCGACAGTCTGATCTCCAACTTCATGGCCTGCTAGACCGCAGATCATTCTCCAGACTTCATTAGCCAGCATGTCCAGCTCGATGCCCAGCATGAAGATGTTGGGTGGGAGTTGCTCCTTTGAGGCGTAGATGGGACTGAGGATGGGATCTTGCAGGTCTTGGCCGGGCAGGGTATAAGCAGCATCGAAAAATGGCGAAAGTCTCAAAAGATAATCCACAGGATTCGCTCGGAAACCTCCAAGAGAAGGCTTATACTGTCTGTGCTGTGTCTTGAAATCCCGAGTCACAGATACATCCACAACAGGGTACAACGGGATAACAGTCTTGATCCTCCTCACACCATCGCCAGTACCGTTCATACTAGGCAGAATCGACACGGAAAGGGCTAAGTTACCTCCAGCAGATGCTCCCATGAGCGCAACACGCTCGTGGTCGATGGGCAGAGAAGAATCGGACAAAACGGCGAGTACGAGCTGTTCCAGATCGTAGGTTGGAGTTGGAAAGCGTGCGCGTGGGGCTTTGGTGTAGTTAAGTGCCACGACGATGACGGAGTGCATGTTCGCGAATGTGTAGTTAAAGAGATCATCGTCGCGAGGGTTTCCTACCACAAAGCCGCCGCCATGGATGTTGAGGATGGTTGGGAGACTCTTTCCAGCCTTTGCGTCAAAGCCCTTTGGATAGAAGATCCTACATCAATTAGCAATTTTTATCAACATCGAGATGAGATACATACCTGAGAGGGAGCTTTGGTCGGCAGGGATATCTCTTGATGACAGTAGGTCCATTCTTCGGCGTTATGAACCGTTCCTTGATCGCAAGAACATTATTCGCAACGACGATAAAGTAATGCAGCGCATAATAAACGACCGAGTATCTGACACCTGTAAACCAAGAAATCGGCTCTTTATACCGCCGAGTAGCAGCCTCCAGTGAGATCTGTTCAGCCATGGTCAAAGAGTTTGCAGAGAAATGAACGACGAGCAGAACCGAGATGATAAGTACATTTACGAAGCCCCGCAAATCGACATTCCAGACCTCGGCTCGGAGTAATTCACAGAGCACATTATCGTACGATAAGTGAACTATCCGTATCGCAAGATTAAACACATTTAACTTTCTAGGAAAATGTCCATGAGGTTAATTATGATGGATAATCCCTGTATATCCATCGTTAAGTCGATTGTTCGACCTTCATGTTTGATCGTCAGCCTATTCCAATTACGTAGTGGACTTGATCCTCTCAACCCATTGGCTCGGCGTGATCCTTCCGAGACTAAACCTCTTTCGACCCCGAAGGATCCGAATATCCCTCCCCTTTAACTCCTTCACCTTCATCTTCTTTTTCGCTCAACAAACATGTCCGAAATACGAAAACACGCGTGCACAATCTGTGCACGACGAAAAGTCAAGTGCGATAAAATAGATCCTTGTTCGAATTGTCAAAGAGCGGGGACGCAATGCTCGTATGAAGCGCCTGCGCCGCCTAAGCCGAGAAAACGAGCTGCTGATGAGGATTTGTTAGCCAGGTTGGCGGTTTATGAGGAGTTGATGAGGAAGAATGGGGTTGATTTTATGCAGGCTGCTAATGTTTGGAAATCGTCGGGGTTGGAGGCGAAGGCTGAGGGTGGTGATGAAAGTGCTCCTACGGAACTGTAAGTTAGCGATGACTTTGTTGTGTTCAATGCTAATAAATTGGTAGATGTCTCTGGTCGACTCTTTGTCCGGAGGTACGTTGTTCGGATTGCATTGAGTCGCTTTACTGACTTGTTGTTCAGTTAAAATATCCTCCCATGATGATGCTTCGTCATAAAGACGACTCCTTCTTCCATACCACACCACCAATTAGTTCCATCTTATCCATCTCACAAAACGTTTGTGAACTACACCCGGAGCCAAAACACATCTACTTCCTCTGGCAAACTTTCGTCGAAACAGTCAATCCACTCATCAAAATCATCCACGTCCCAACTTTACAAAAGCGCATCTTGGAAGCGACCTGGAATCCCTCGGGCATCGACAAAGCACTCGCAGCACTTATGTTTTCTATGTACACTCTCTCCGTTACTTCGCTATCAGCAGAAGATTGCCACACGTCATTGGGTCAGGATAGAGGTGTTTTGATTACACGTTATCGAACAGCGACATTGCGAGCCCTCATGGAAGCCGACTTTATGACAACCAAGGAATTGGAAGTCCTCCAAGCAATGGTCCTTTTCGTCTTCTCTAACCCAGAGACGGAGATATCGAGCACCATTACAGCAGTTGCCGTCCGAACTGGACAAATGATGGGTCTTCACAAAACCGATCAAGACACCAAACTATCCTTCTTCGACAAAGAAATGCGGATACGACTCTGGTGGCAGATAAAAGGTCTCGACTCCAGAGTCCGCGCTATATCAACGCCTGGAATCAAGCTATCCAGAACTGACTTTGGAGAAATAAGACTGCCGTTCAACATAAACGACGCAGACTTGCACCCAGACATGCTCGAACCCCCTGTCCAGCATAATGGTCCCACGGAGATGATCTGCGTGCTTATGAAGTTTGAAGTTACAAGCTGGGTCAAGTCTTCGCCGCGAGCAGCCAAGGTCTTTGAGAGTATAACACCTGGTTTTTGGAAGGGAAAGACGCCGTTGAATCTTGGGTATGACGTTGTTAATGAGTTGGAGGCTATTTACACGGAGAAATATCTGTCCAAGCTGGATAGATGTGTTCCTTTTCACGATCTTACGTTTGCTATAGCGAATCTGGCTCTTGCGCGTATACGATTTATGTTGCATCATCCACGAGGCCGTGCAATCAATGGAGAAGACGTCTACATGACAAAGCAAGAAAGCGATCTTCTCTTCGACGCAGCACTGTCATTCATCCAATACGTTGACGTCGGCTTCAAGAGCAAATTCTCATCCCAGATGTTCACACATCTTACTTCGACACATCACTTCGACGCATACATCTATCTCATAAGCGAACTACGCAAACGAGACACAGGACCAAGAATTGCTCTGGCGTGGAAGCTTGTGGATGGCTTATACGCCGATCATGCTGAGCTGATTGATACCGACAGTCCCTTGTTTACTGCGTTAGGAAATTTGGTACTGGAAGCGTGGGAGACGAGGCGTAAGGTTTTGGCCGAGGCGGATGCTATACCCTCTTGTATAGATTTGCTCTGGGCGAAGAGACGCGTTGCGGATGTTAGTACTGAGGTGGTGGCGGATCCTGCTGGTGGACTTGAAGGATGGGAGTTTAATGTTGGGGATTTTGATTGGAATTATTGGAATAACTTTATACGACTTTAGATGACTTCCAATGGAACAAAGACTGGAGACTCGAGAGAATGGATAAGTAGGGCGAAAACAATACGGAAGCGGTTGGTGATATAACCCCAATGTTCTGATCATAGACCAATGACAAGAGATACCAAAGTTGCAAATCCTGTCTTGACGTCGCGAAACGAGGATCCTTCTGCCGTCCTCGCATGCGTAGTTCTCCCCGCGAAAAGCCAACGAGGCAAAATGGAATGAAACTATATCATAATCGTTATTCAACGTATTGCCATGTAAGCCAAACCACCCTTCTCAGACCACAACTAACATCCCAAGCAACATGGCCGATGAATTTCCCTCTGCCAAAGTGATAGCCACCCACATAACCCCAAGCCAACCGAACTTCGTCCCCCCAAACGTCGAATTCCAAATCGACGATGCAACAATGGACCGGACATTCGAACCTGAATCCTTTGACTTTATCCACATCCGTTATCTGCAAGGTACCGTCGATGATTGGGATAAGCTCTACAGTCGAGTATACAAGTTTCTTAAGCCAGGTGGTTGGTTTGATCATATAGAGCCTGATTTGCAGATGTATTCCCAAAATCCCGACGTAAAGGTCGACGACGAACAGTACAAATCTCCTACCCTTTCTCAACTTCATCGACTAACAAAGGTAGCATCTACACCCGTCGGGCAAAGATCTTTGAATCCGTCGGCGAAAAGATAAACCGAACTTTCAACTTCTCGAATGGCAAACTCCAAACCCTCGCCGAAACAGCAAACTTTACCAACATAACCTCCCAAACACACAAGGTTCCCGTAGGTCACTGGCCCAAGGACAAGAGGAAGAAGGAGATTGGTACTTTTGTAAGATTGTCGTTTAGTCAGGCGCTGGATAGGTTCGTCAAGTTGCCGCTTTGTGAGATTTGGAAGTGGAGTCCTGAGGAGATGCAGGTTTTTGCGGCGGAGATGAGGAGGAAGATCATGAATCTTAGGAAGCAGACTGTTGGACATGTTTTTAGTGTTTATGGACAGAAGCTTGAGGGTCCAAAGTAGGGTCTTGGGAGGAAGAGTCCGGCTGAGTAGGCACTTTACCAGAATGATGATGATGTCTTCACAGACGATTTCTTGGTTGCTTATCAAGTTTAACAATAATGCGATGATATATTCGAACTCATATTATACTTCTAATAGTTATACAGACTCCATACCAAACCGAAGTCAAGACTGTAACCCCAACAACCACCCTCTAAGCAGTGTTGTAGTACATCTCAATCTTCTTAATCTTGAAAGAAGCATTCTGCTTAGGAGGACCCGCACTCCAACCCTTATCACCGTTGGACCAGTTATTCCAGATCCAAGGACCAGGCACGTTGGGAACATCCTTCTTGGTAGACCACATCTTCACACCGTCAACATAGAATTGAACAAGACCCTTGGTCCAGTCAATTCGGTACTCGTGTTCGGTGGTGGTAGGGTTGGAAGGGGGGAGGACGGCCTTGTGGCTGGGCTGTCCGTCGCCATTGTTGTCTTGGTTGGTGAACCACAAGTGACGGACGCCGTTCTCGTTGGATTGGGATTTGGGGTCTGACAGCCACTCGATGTCGGTTTCTTGGCTGTCGGACTCGTAAAAGAACATTCCTGCAAACCATTAATACTCAGTCAAAGTCAATTGAAGTTGTGGAACGTACCGTTGCAAACACCTGCAGGTTCACTAAGAATAGCCGTCGTTCTAACAGAAGCATACATAATATTCTCCATCTCAGTAGCAACCTCAGCAGACTTATAAGGCTTAGCCTTCTGTCCACCCGGAACATTAAGCTCTAGATACCCATTGCGAAGCTTAACACCAGAGGGCGTAAAAACATGGGTCTTTCCAACAGGGTAATCGCTAGCGTAAAGCCCCTCGGGAAGAGTCTTGCCGTTGAATGTCCAAACTTTTTTGTTGGCGAATTTGGTTGATCGGTCAACGATGTAGTGACCCTTTTCGAACTTGGGAACGGGAGAGCGCTTGTCGCATTCCTTTGGTGCGGCGCTTGTTAGGCCAAGGAGGGTTACGGCGACGGAGATGTAGGATGTCAGATGCATGATGGATAGATGGTGATGACAATGACATTGTGAATTGACTTGGCGGGTTGGGCTGGATATATATAGAGGCTATCGTAAATTGCTTTGCTGGAAGGATCGTAGGATTTGCGGATGGATTGACGTCTAGACCATGCTCAAGGAATGACCTTGGTCGGGTCTGGTTTAGCGGTGGGTATTTCGGGTTGAGCATTCCAGGGGTCTTTGCCGCCAAAGTTTTAGCAGCATGCCATCGTCAAGTCCAATTGTCTAGACAAGACAAGTCCATGACTTGAGCGGGCCGAACCTCTATGGCTTTGTTCTTGGCATCCTGTCTCTCTGGTTCCTGTTTCTTCGTTGTCTTTGTTTCTGTTCAATTGTTGGCAGAGACAATGTTCATCTCAACTTCGCCTCATCCCCCATAAGCACTAGATCCAGGTTGAAACGGCGCGATAGCGGGTCTTTAATTTCCCTCTTAACAAGATGTCATTGGTATTTTTGCGAGCATGAACTGCGGTCGCAGAGTGGAATCTAAGGAGTCCGAGATGGCGAATCGCAAAGAATGTGGATGTAACGAGAAACATTCCCAGATCGGGCTCAGCCTTGACGAAGCTTGGCAGACGATTGAAACTGGCTTTCATCCTCACTGCCCACTAGATGATAACATTCTAAGTCGCATTAGGCAAGCGAGGGACTTCTGTGCTTATTCTCATCTTATCATCCTTGTTCCATTCGATCTTCAGTATTGGGTTTCGGCCCCTGCATTCTTAGACGGTACGGGTGGACCATTCCAGACCTTCATCGCGAATGGCGTAGCAAAAGGACTTCCGATGACAATTAAGCCTCGCAGGTATGTTTCTAGGCTTTCTCCAAACGGTCAGCATTTTCGCGACAACTACAAGAATGGACGTTGCTTAGGCGGTCTGTATCGAATCCTCCATTACAGCACTTCCAGCTTGCACTGAGCTGCCAGCACTAAAAAAAGCTTCGCCCAGCGCTAAGATCCTGACAAGACCTGATATAACCCAGACGATCCATCATGCTCAGCCTCATCCCACAGATCCTTCTGATCGATCACGCTACGTCATTCTCATTTTAATCATAGTACTTCACGTCAATGTCAAGGTCAAGTTTGGGGCAAGTTGATTGCATTTCTATCTATGTATCTATGTACAACCAGGTAACGTTGAGTCTTCCAAGGCTGTCTCGCTCTCTGTGTATCTCTCTCTGTCTCTCTGTCTCTCTCGCTCACTGTGTCTGCGCTCTGGTATCGGTACTCAAAACGTTTCTCGCTCGCAACTCAGCAAAAAGGAAATAGAACAAAACATAACTTCGCAAGACTAGTCCGATCCAACGTTCGCGCATCCAGTAAACCAATCGCTCATCATTCTCGCGTATCGCCAAACCATACCAATATTTTCTTCGCACAAAACTGATCCAGCAATCGTCTCAAATCCCTCCTATCCAGTGTGAGCAAAAAAGTCCAACACGTCTCGAGCAGGAACTTCAGCGTCGAGGAGTGTGTAGTAAGTGGCATCAGCAGGCCAGCACTTCGAACATCTCGCTCGACGTAGAAGGGGGAACGAGTGACGAGGTCCTCCTGGTTCGAACCACTCCTTGCTCCACCCATATGTTTGCACAGAATAGGCAAGCTTTTGTTGTTTGACGTCGGAACGGAAGAGTGATGAGGTTCGGTACACAATCTCGTGGGCGGATTCGGTCCCAACAACAACTGGAATAAGCTCTGGGCTTATCTTGTTCTCGTTTTCTGATATGCACTTGTTCCAGACGTCGCGCAACTCTTGGGGGTCTTTGTGTTTAGACCAGTACTCCTGGAGGTGTGTGAGATAACACTCTTTGGAGTTGTGGTAACGTCGCCGAGCGTTACAGTTGTCAATAAAGGTGGGTAGCTTCTCATCATCCAGGGCAAAGACGCGAAACTTGTATTCGCCTAGTTGCGAATTTGCAATCGGGCTGACGTATGGCTCACACACAACAACCGATACTCCAACATAAACAGTCTTCACCGGTTTGCAGCCGCGCTCATGACGAATAAGAAGAGCGTCGAACAACTTCTTGAGCTGCCATGACAAGGGCCACAACGTGGCGATGGACTCAACTCCGAAGATTAGATCTTGCAAGTGCTCAAGCGCGTCCTCGTGTAGGGGCATGAACAGCTGCCCAATAGACGCTTTGGTCCAGACGTTCAATGCCTCTCGGCTAACCTGTCTCATCACTAGAGGGTCTCGAGTGTGCAGGACACTTGTTAACTGGCCATGATCCAGGTCGTTGTAATTGTCGTCCTCATCTGAAACTTCTGGGACATCATAGGGACCCATGATGGCATCCCGGCCCGAGGGCGCGATGGCTTCCCAGATTTCGAGTCGCATTTCAGGTGGGAGACGGTTAAACGTCTTCATGAGCTCCATCGTGGGAAACGAGACGGTAGGGCTTTCATCGTCGATCTTCTTGAGGATATCCGTGAGCTCAGAAAGGGTGAGGAGATTCAGGATGTCGGGACGTTCAGTGATTTTCCTGGCGGGAACATCGATGAGGTTGGTAGAGGTAGAAGGGGTATCGGGGGGTTGATGATCCATCGTGACAGTTGCTGAAGACGGTATGATGGACGAATAGGATGATGAGGTGAAAATGTAGGATGGGATACAAAAGTGGTGATGAATGCGGTGTCGCTCAGGGTGGAAAGATGTCGATGATGAAAGTTGGGAGTGTGTAGAAGGGGAGAGTTCAAGAAAGGGAGTGCGAGGAGGGGACAGAAATATGAATGGCTGAGGCACTGCAGTGGTTATATTTACAGTGTACACTGGAGTGCCAAAGCAAAGAGGCTAGTCTGCGAGAGTGCCAGAAAGTTTAGAGTGTTCGAAGCAAACGCGGAGCCTGTTCCTCAAGGCAGCCATTAGCTTCTCGGAGCACCTTGGACTTTTGCGAACAAGCCCACTAAACTACGTTGCGACAACAACGCTCGTCCTTGAACGTGCCAGCAGTGTCTCGACGACGTGCTTGTTATTGCTGAACATCATTCTCTTTGGAATTGATCGCAATATCTTTGTGCGAACATCGTGAAAGGCCTCGAGCGCCGTCACCCTCGAGGTAGTTACAGTTAAGGTTTATGATCTTCAAGTATTACCACACCAATTGACGAACAGGAAGTGTTTCTGCTCTAACCTAGTACAAGGTTTTGATTAATGTTCCTAGCATGCATCTTGGTTGCTTCCTTAGAGAATGTCACTCTGTCGTTTGAGAAAAACACAGATCCATAGAGCAGATTCTTGAGAGCTGGCTGAACACGCCTCGTCTACGGGCTCACTCTCTTTTTCCATAGTTCCAGATAGCTACTGAGTAAATAAGATGCATACCAGGAACTAATGCCGTCCACATCCCTTGCTTCCTTCGTGCCATCAAGACGGGAGGCTTTGATGCAACACGCCGGACGTAGGGAACAATGCCTATGTTTCAGCACTCGCATTGTTCAAGGGAGGTCATATCTGAAGGTTAGAACTATGACACCTTGTTATTTTGCCAAGCGCTCATGTTGGTCGATAGATTGCCGTTACTCTATACGCCGTGCGAAAGGTATCGTGAGTTTTCTCGGAGATCCGGTCACAAAGGCTCCGCTTTCCTCCGGAGTCTTCAGTCAGTCCCTGGAATGATTCCCCGAAAGCTTTTTCAACAACGTAACGAGAGAAAGAAAACCTAGATCAGAGCCAAGTTCCATCATCAAAGCAGGTGAGAAAGAAGAAGGCCATCTCAATGTAATCACCATGTTCTCGAAACAACCATGCCTATATACTACCAAGATCGACAGAAAGAGACGGTTGTCACTCTGGCTGAGCGAATAGATTTCCCATTCGACATCAAGTGTGATCATAAACGTACTGCAACTTGGGCTTGCGTCTCTAACGACACTCCCCTTCGTCAGGATGGCGACCCAGGCACAAAATTTCCCCTTTAGCTCAGAGTTTGGTGCAAACGACATACAATTTCTATCTATCTATCTACAAAATGGTCAAAACAGCCGACAAGTAACCCCGGGCTTTCTCTCCGCTTTTGCTGAAATCGACACTTCAGACATTTCTCGCCTACAACATAGGAACAAGGGAAAATTTGGAAAAGGAAAGCGTAATTTAGCGGTCCTATTCTATCTAATCCGACGGCTCTATGACTAGTATTCTCTCGCAATTTGTTCCATCTGGCCAAGTCGGACAAGTAGTTTCTGCGCAATATGCCTTAAGTCTAATCAATCACAGCTGTGCTACTATCTGATCTATCATCCATTCGAAAATGACACTCTTGTAAATTTAGGACACTGAATTGATAACAAAATTGTCTCAAAGCCATGTTAGCCAGTCTGGTCGTCCAATGTATTTTGACTTGGTATGCTGCATTGAGTATTACGAAATACTACTTCAGGTTGGCCGGCATTTCTGGCATTGCCACTGGCGCAGAGCATTAGTACGCAAGTAGAGCGGGGGACGCGGGTAAAATCTCAATGGGGGACCGGTGCTCTCACGAGAATAAGCGATTTTGGCCTCTTGAACATGAGAGTAGAAGTCTTCGGGAGTTTGGAGCCAGACTGAACGTGCCAACTGGATCCCGATCACCACTGGTTTCAGTTCAGGGTTAACCTTTCCATCATGGGATGCCGTGAGGCGCGCCCAGGCCTTTTGAAGCTCCTGAGGCTGTTCGTGGTTGTCCCAATACTCTTGGAGAGAGGCGATATAGCATGCATCAGAATGATGCTTCTTTTCTGGGGTATGGCAATTCTCTAAGAAGCTTGGGAGGAATGCGTCTTCGAGTTCGAAAAGACGGTACCCGCACTCGCCAAGTTGACTGTTTGCGATAGGGCTGGCCTTTGGGTTACAAACCACAGTAGAGATACCAATGTAGAGAGACTTTACAGGCTTGTAGCCCCGCTGGTACCGACGAAGAAGAACTTCATAGAGTTCATCAAGCTTCCGGATATTAGGCCAGAGTGTAGCTATCGAGTCAACGCCGAAACTAAGCCTAGAAAGACTTTTGAGGGACCAATGATGGAGGGGCATGAGCAGAGTAGCAATGGTCGCCCGGGTCCAGGCTATATACGCTTCATGGCAGGTTTCCCGTGCGGCTAAAACATCTGGATGGTGAAGAATGGTGAGAACCTTGCAATGACCATTGGCATGATATAAAGGGCCGCAGTCGATCATTGCATCATGACCTGAGGGCGCTATAGCTTGCCATACCGCGAGTCGCATCTCGAGCGGGAGATGAAAAAGGCTGGTGGCGGTTGCGGGGGTTGGAATTTTGTTATCCATCTTGTCTTTGGTGTGGTTGTTCTTGGGTGTTGTAAGATGTTAATGTGGCTTCCTTAGAGAGGGGAATATTAATAGTAGAAGATAAAGTTACGATGAGGAGAGGTTCAAGGAAGATAGTCGTGAGGAAGGGGGTTTATGTAAACTTTTACGAACAAGAACAGCGGTGCTCATTCTTGAGAGTAACATGTGAAAGGTTGCTACCCTTGGTTTGTTCAGTTAAGCTTTGTCTGAACAAAGTTATATCTTTCAAGCATCATGACTCCGATTTTTGAACAGAGACTTCTCTTTGCTCTAGCCTAAAGTAATGTTCTCGTCAAGTCAGCGAGCGCTTTTCTTGCTAGTTTACTCAATAGCTGCTACTATAACGCTTTGGAAAGATACAGATGCCAAGCAAAGAGTAAAACTCGATAGTTCGCTAAGGGCGCATCGTTTTCTACTGACTGTTCGCTCCGAAGTTGTAGTTTCGGCTGTTAAATCAAGCTGTGTACTACGAAGCATAATTATCGCACATTCCATTCTTCCATTTTGTCAATAAGACGAAAGAGTTCTCTTTTGGAGCAGACATGCCTCTATCTCAGTAATCGTCCTAGAGCCTTCACTGCGATCAATGTTCAAGAAGATGCGAATAATAACTTCCAAGAAAAGGAGTATCGTGCGTGCCTGATTGATTCGTTACCAATTGATATTGATGTTGAGTTACATCACGCAAAAAGAAAGGCTTGCGGTTTGTGTGGATCGAAC